TTATTGTACTTCAGGTGAAGGCTTACAGAACAAATAGTTTCTCATGAAACAGTAGTACACATATTGTTTTATGACATTGGTTAACAACCCCACAACATGTCAACCCTCTAACTTCTCAACCTTTAACTAAATAATATTTTTTAAAAATGTCTTTACTACTGGAAAATTTAAAGAACAGTATTAACTAACTTTTGGGTTAAAATACAAAAGTTGCATATTTTTATGGGAAAAGATAACAAGAATACTGCATATCTGAATTCATAGGATATAGTTTAGGTAGCACTTGGAGAAAAATATACAGCCTTAAAATTATATGTAAAAAATTGAAAGAATAAAAATAAATAAATGCAGTAGGAAAACAGCAACAAACTAAGCTGATAAAATCACAGAATGAATAAAGATAGAAGAAAAATGTCATGTTTGAAAACTAATAGAATTAATAAACTAATAAAAAGTTAATTTTTTTTAAAAAAAACAGAAGCCACTAATAAAAAAATTTAAATGGAGAAAACAAAAATAAAAGAAATGAGAAATGTCAAGGAGAGAGTAATTATAAGGAAGAGGAAAATCATGAACTTTCAATGATTCTATTAAAATAAAATTGAAAATCTAGATAAAATACATAATTTCTAGCAAAATAATTTACCATAAACTGACACAAATTGAGATGGATGATTTGAATAGACCAATGTTCAAAGAAGAAAAAGAAATTTGTCAAAGACCTACTCTACAAATAGGTATCAGACCTAGATGATTTCAGATGGGAATTATGCCTAACTTTGAAAGACCAGATAATTCCAAAACAATTTAAATGTTTCAATAGTACAGAAAATGAAGAAAAACTACAAATTATTTTATTGAAGGAATTATAACTTTGATAGAAAAACCTGATAAAATTGTGCATATATGTACAAAGTTACAGATCAATCTCACTAATAAATAACAATACAAAAATTCTCAACTAACATCAGATATAAAAATTGAACAGTATATTACAAAATGAAATACATCATATCCAAGTGGGGCTTATTCCAGGGATGCAAGAATAGTTCCACGTTATCATTCCATTAATAAAATTTACCATACAAAAAAGGAAGCAAACAGCACACTTATTTCTACAGATTTTGAGAAGGCATTTTGCAAATTTCAACACCCATTTCTGATAAATATAAATCGTGGAAACTTTTTTTTTAAATTCTAAAACACACACAACTCAACCTACATGTCCTCATGTTAATTAATGGGAAGCACTGGTGGTATTACCACCAATTCTGATCAAGGCAAGTATGTTCACTCTCCTAATTTCTATTTGTCGTTACCTTGGAGGTAGTAATCAGCACAATTAGACAAAAGAAAACTATTAGATGGATAAGAATTGGGAAGCACATTTTAAAACAATCCCTATTTGACATGATAAAAAACCAAACCAAAGCCATTGCCGTCGAGTTGATTCTGACTCATTGCAACCCTAAAAAACCTCATCAGCATCAATGTATGAACCACTGTAAAACAACCAAAATTCAGTTAACTTGTAGAATATAAAATCAACATACTAAAAATATTCATATAACATACTGAAAAAAAAAACAATAGCCTTCTGTTATGGATTGAAATGTGTTCCCCCAAAATGTGTGTCAACTTGGCTAGGCCATGATTCCCAGTATTGTGTGGTTGTCCACCATTTTGTGATCTGATTTGATTTTCCTATGTGTTGTCAATCCTACCTCTATGATGTTAATGAGGCAGGAGTAGAGGCAGTTATGTTAATGAGACAGGATTCAATCTATAGGATTAGATTGTATTTTGAGTCAATCTCTTGATATATAGAAGAGAGAAGTGAGCAGAGAGGAGAGGGACCTCATGTCACCAAGAATGAAGAACCAGGAGGGGTCCATGTCCCTTGGACCCAGGGTCTCTGCGCTGAGAAGCTCTTAGACCCAAGGGAAGATTGATGGCAAGAACCTTCTCCAGAGCCAACAGACAAAGAAAGCCTTCCCCTGTAGCTGGCATCCAGAATTTGGACTTCCAGCCTCCTAGACTGAGAGAGAATAAACTTCTGTTTGTTAAAGCCATCCACTAGTGGTATTTCTGTTATAGCAGCACTAGGTAACTAAGATACCTTTGTAGATACAAAAAATAATTAGAAGATATAATGAAAGACGATATTCCATTTAAAACAGTAGCAATAGAGCAACAGCAAAAAAGACAAAATGCCAAAGAGCAAACTCAACAAATGAGGGAAATTTAAAAATATTCCTGAGAGACACAAAACTTTGACTTAAAAAAATGAAACAAAGTACCATATACTTGACTAGACTGACTCAACATCATAAAGATGTCAATTCTTCCCAAGTTAATTTATAAAATTAATGTCATCCCAATAGTAATAACCAAAGAATTTTTCTCTGGATCTAGACAAGTTGTTTTGAAAGTTCATATGGAAAAGTAAGCCAAAACTCCTGAATATTAAGATCAATAAATGTGCATGCCATATCAGATATTAATAGCAAATTAAAACTTAGTGATTCTGAAGGATAAAGAGATCAATAGAACTAAATAGAAAGTCCAGAAATAGACTCAAGCACCTAAGACGATTTAGTATGTGAAAAAAGTGACATCTAAAATTATTAGGAAAACACAGGCTTTTTAATAAATGATTTTACAGCAACTGGTGAGACACCTAAAAAGAGAGTTAGTATTACACCTTACACCGTACCCCAAGATAAACTTAAAATGGATCAGAGATCCTAAAAAAACATTCTGGTGAAAGCTTTTCTAATCATGACTCAAAATTCAGAAGAAACATAGAAAGTATTAATAAATTTAGTCACATTACAAAAAAACTTTTGCATGCCAAAAATTACGAAAAGTATAAAAAACCAAATTATTTTCTGGGAAAACTATTTGCAGCTTACCCTACAAATTGAGAAGAAAAAGACCAAAAGCCAATAGAAAAATGAGTATAAGCAATGAACTGTTCATAGAAAAATGAAGTGTGTATAGTGCTTAAATATATAACCTCGCTCATAATAAGAAAAAATTTAAACTAAAATTAATTGAGGTACTACTTGTAACCTATCAGAATGACAAAAATCAATAAGATTGATATACCCGGTTGACAAAGCTTTGGGAAAAAGGGTTAATACATTGCTGGTGATAGTGTAAAATGGTTCAAACCATACGGAGGGAAGTTGCACAGTATCTAAAAAGATTGCATTTACCCTTTAACCCTGCAATCTCACTTCTAGGAATCAACCTTGAATATATGTTTGCACAAGAATAAAAATACACATGCAGAATCTATTCTGATATTATTTGTAATAGCCAAACTTTGGAATCAGCCAAATGTACATCAGTAGGTGACCGGTTGAATAAACTATGGTATATCCAAATCAAGTATCTTTCTTTGGAAGCAGTTGATAAATTCTGCCTTAAAGTAAGGCACCAAAGGGTAACATCAGCTATGGCTTTTTAAATATAAAATTATTTTACTTAAAATGCAAATTTTTTTATATTTTTTAATTTTTTCCCTTACAAAAATTTATACATACATTGTTATGTGACTCTAATTGCTCTCCCCATACTGTGATAGCACACTCCTCCTTCCCACCCCTGATTCCCCATGTCCATTCAACCAGCTCCTAACCCTTTTGGCCTTCGCATCTCACCTCCGGACAGAAGCTGCCTATTTTGTCTCTTGTATCTACTTGAGCTAAGAGGCACACTCCTCACAAGTATCACTTTATGTCCCGCAGTCCAGTCCAATCCCTGTCTGAAGAGTTGGACTCGGTAATTGTTTTAGTTCTGGGCTGATAGAGAATCCAGGGATCATGCTTTCCAGGGATCCTCCAGTCTCAGTCAGACCATTAAGTCTGGTCTTCTGACCAGAATTTGAGTTCTGCACCCCACCTTTCTCCTGCTCCATCTGGGACTTCCTGTTGTGTTCCCCGTCAGGGCTGTCATTGATGGTAGCCGGGCACCGTCTAGTTCTTCTGATCTCAGGGTGATGAAGTGTCTGGTTTATGTGGACCTCTCTGTCTCTTGGGCTACTACTTTCCTTGCATCTTTGGTGTTCTTCATTCTCCTTTACTCCAGGTGGTTGGGACCAATTGATGCATCTTAGATGGCCACTTGCAAGCTTTTAAGACCCCAGACACCCCCACTCACCAAAGTAGGATGCAGAACATTTTCTTCATAAGCTTTGTTATGCCAATTGACATAGATGTCCACTGAAAGCATGGTCCCCAGACCCCGACCCCTGTTACTCTGTCCCTCAAAATGTTTGATTGTATTCAGGAAACTTTTTAGCTTTGGTTTGTGCTGACTTCCCCTGTAGTGTGTGCTGTCCTTCCCTTCACCTAAAATTCTTATCTACTATCTAGTTAGTAAATAACGCTCACCCTCCCGCCCCACCCTCAAAACCATCAAAGAATGTTTTCTTCTGTGTTTAAACCTTTTCTTGAGTTCTTATAATAGCAGTCTTATACAATATTTGTCCTTCTGTGACTGACTAAATTCACTCAGCATAATGACCTCCAGCTTCCTCCATGTTATAAGATGTTTCACAGCTTCATCATTGTTCTTTATTGTTGCCTAGTATTCCATTGTGTGGATATACCATAGTTTGTTTATCCATTGGTCTTTTGATGGGCACCTAGGTTGTTTCCATCTTTTTGCTATTGTGAACAGTGCTGCAATGAATACGGGGGTGCATATATCTATTCATGTGACAGCTCTTATTTCTCTAGGATATATTCCAAGGAGCAGGATAGCTGGATTGTATGGTACTTCTATTTCTAGCTTTTCAAGGAAGTGCCAGATTGATTTCCAAAGTGGTTGTACCATTTTACATTCCCACCAACCGTGTATAAGTGTTCCAGTCTCTCTACAACCTCTCCAGCATTTATTATAAAATGCAAATATGTTTTGAAAACTGAATCGATATAAAAAAAGAATTTAAATGTAGCAGAATATCAAAGCATAAGTTGCCTTTTACTTACGGTTTACAGTTTTGATTGGTAACATTGGGTTTACCCTCTCTGGAGAGGCAGAGTTTTCTTCATCTGTCACATATTCAAAATTAATGATGAACATCATAGCCACACCCTCTTGGTTTTTCACTGGAATTATGTGAGTGTTACAAATGAAAGTAGAGCCTAAGGAGATGAAAAATGAGAGTTAGCTCAAATATATGCCTTCAATTTGTAGTCTCAGTAATTTTAAAATTGTAATAAACTCCTATAGAATTTTCTATCCTAAATGATCACCGTAATTCAATAAAAAATAATTTGTTTTTTAATGTTTTATTGTACACATATTTATTTTAAATATGCACAAATTTTGCCAGAAAAGAAATTTTATAGGCAAATCCAGGTACTGCATTGTGGAAAAACAGAGTATTAAATCCCATTTGCTTTCAAACCCACTACCTATATTAACAACAACAACAAAAAAAACACATATTCTTTACCTTTCTAGAAAAACTCTTAGCTTCTCTTTATATGTTTTGGTAAATATTAGTCTATTTAAAATACAGCTGTATTTTAATAGGATAACTCATTTTGTATCATCTTCCTTTTATCATTAAACAAATCGTGTTCTTTTTCTACTTTAATTTCTACTGACCCTGTCTTAACTAAGTTCCAATAGTTTTCTTTCTTTTTGTGAAAAATTCACAATGCCTACATCACAGTGATTTTTTTAGGCTTGCCACCTGTTAGATAAGAAACACTATTTTGTCTATGTTATTACTTATATTTGATCCAGTCAACCAAGAAGATGATATTCTTCCAGAGTAAAATTAAAGGGATAATAAAATATGTTTTGTAAGAATGATCTGGAAATAAAATGAACTAAATGAATGACTTAGTTCACAATCAACTACAACCAGCCACCTTCCAAGAGAAACCCCAGGGTCGATGATTTAGAGGATCCAGGAATCGAGAAGTTGAAGAAGCTGTGAAAATGGGTACAATTGAAAGACTAACTCCTTGGAGCTGACTTCTAGAAATGGGTATTCCTCCATAACAGTTTCCTCACATCCTTATATTCTGAAAAAAAAATTTTTTAAGTCACTGTGATGGTAATTTCCCAGGTTAGGGGTTTATCTGGGTTCAAAAATATTGTATTTTTAAGATGCAAAAACTTCAGGAAGGTTCTCATTCAGGTAGAAGTGTGTATTCTGATTGCCTTCTTTACACCTAGCTGAGACAATCTTGAATTTTGAGGAGAGTGATGGTTCATTATAGAGGCAGGATTGGGCTGGGAACAAGGCTGGACTGGCATGGAACTGAATAGGGAGACGTAGAGAAGTGTAAGGACATCCGGAGGCTGGGAACAGGGGCATTGGCAAATAGCAGAGGTAGTCCGAAGGTATGCAAAGGCAAGTGGTTGCTAGTATTTCAAACCTTTATCCTGTGTAAGCTCTGAGTATTGCTAATATTGCTATAGATGGAAGGCATCACAGATTGAAAGAGCTTTGAGGGTAGATCTGGGGATCTAAGTATTATTTATAAAATTCTTTCTACAGGGGAATGTGTTCTAATTTCCAAGGAACTGATTTAAAAATATACTTTTAGAATATAACTGTAAATTGGAGATAGATGCCTGTGTGCTAATTATGATTCAGATGTTCAAATGCAGATAACGTCTCAAATTTGAAATGTAGGGGACCTTATTTATAACCCATTTCATATTTTCGATAAATGTGGTCATGGTTTTATAGATTGGAAAAATGTGCCAGAAGAACGACATGCTGCACCTTTACAATCTTCAGCTATATCTTCAATCCATTTAATAAAATAGTTAGCCAGAGGACTTGTCACAGTTTCCATGGTAACAAACAGGATGACTTTAGTAAACAGAAAACAAGCAATTTAAGACTGTTCCATCAGAACTAAAAATAGAAGTGCTTCAGGACAGGCATCGCAATACACACTGGTTAAACAGAGAGTCTGTGGAGATGCTAGAAATAGCCATTATGTACTTGGCTAATGAACCAAAATACGTATTGATTTTACCATTTAAAATGACATTTCCTGAATCATTTAGAATATCATTGTGAATTCATAGATTTGTTAGCAGTTTTGAATCTTTTGGCATTTGGGGTATACTGCTGATTGTACAACAAAACATAAAACACAGATTTTTGAGAAAACAAAACATAAAAGATGTGGAGATAGTGATCTAATAGGTTTGTAAAAGAACAGAGTAATTTAGATATGAGGGACAAATTCATGTCTTTTAACACTAATGCTTGTAAACTTATTGTCTAGTACTAAAAATCATAAAATTAGAGTGTATTAGATGAAGTTCACCTATATACATTGGCCCCATAGCATAATGACTAAGTGTAATTGATCTAGGATTTACTACCCACTATCATTATTTCCTGCATGTATCTATTAAGCAATACATCTCCCCTAAAGTCAACTGAAGACTCACATTTACATTTTTTCTCTTTTATTTTTGAAATGCAATGTCTCCATCAATTTTGCATAGCCTTCTGGAAAGCCAGCACTGAAAGGAGATACATGGAATTTAGAAGAAGGGGAGAATCAAATACATTTTATAGAGCAAGAATATTTTAGATTGCATAATTCTACAAACTCCAAGTTCTGTGAAGAAATTACTTTCAGAAAGTGACATTACCCCAAGAAGTCATGATTGTGTGCCACTAAATGTTTTTCTTAGCAACAGTGGGGAGCAAGATGAATAGAAACAGTAATCCAGCAAATACTAACCTAGTAATGATGAAAGATTAACACATTCAATAACAAATAAATAAGAGAATTCATAAATCTAGGGAAAATAAAAAACAAGTTCAGACAGTGTGAAATGAATCTTGTATTGAAATGAAATCGTGTTTGTTAAGGAGCAACATACTTACAATAATATTATCCTATGTTTATAAAACTACACACACAATTATACTAATATTAGTTAGATGCAGATTCATTTCCATGTTTTCTCTCCTGAGTGAAAACATCTCAACATGGGAAAGGCTGCTTAGGAGGAACAGTGCTCATTTAATCAAATTTATGGAATGTATAATTTTTACTGTAGACACAACACGCAAATTCAGCATAATCTGAATAATTATGAAAATAAGCACTTTATTAATAAATCAGTGGCACACACCTAGATGAATTTAGAAATAAAAGGCCTCTACTCCTCTTTTTGAACTATTTTAAAAGGTATTTTATTTTCCTGTCTCTGGTTTGTGTTCACAGGTCAGCCCTATGTCCTGAAATCAACAAACATTTACTGAGCACCTAACATTAGGTGGAGCACTGTTTGGGGTTCTTATATGGTGATGGGAAGGTCAGCAGTGAATAAATAAATCAAGCTACTGTACTCATGGAACTTACGTTCTACTGGGCTGGATGCAATAAATAAACACATAAATATCTATTATATCAATGAAAATAAGTGCAATGAGGAAATAGAAAGCAGAATAAGGGAATAGATAATGACAGATTTTTTTCTTCCCTTTTTTTTAAAGTAGGGTGGTAAGATAATGCTTATTCTATAAAATGACATTTAAACAAAAACATAAAGGAAGTAATGCAGTGAACCACGTGGCTCTACAGATAAACAGCAGACATGGCAGAGAAAATTCCAAGCCTTTAGGTGGAAGCATGACCAGCAGTGTGCTGATTGTTGGTAGGGTGGGGCTGGGAAAGTGGGTAAGATCAAAGAGGTATCGGGGGCAAGACTATGTAGGAGGCCAAGGTGTGATTTGAAACTTTCTTCTGAGTTAAGCGGGAAGGCATTGTAAGGTTTTGCGCAGAAGTTGGCATGATTTGATTTAAAACGATCCTCTGACTTCTATGTGAACAATAGCTTGTAAGGGAGGCCTTGATGGTAGAAGGGAGGCCAGTTACGAAGATACTGCAATAATACAGGCAAGCAATAACAGTGGTTTTTACTAGGGTGGTGTTGCTGAAGGTGGTGAGAGGGGTCAGTTTGGGATATTCTTTGAAGATAGACTGTATAGGATTTGCTGATGTGAGATGAGATTCAGGATGTGAGAGAATGAGAAGGATCACAGATAACTCCAAATTTTGGGACTGAAGAACTGAAAGAACAGAAATGCCATTTATTGAAATGGGGGAGTCTGTTAGAGGAGGTTGTTTCAGACGTTGTGTCAATCCACAGATTTAGGGCATGTTCACTTTGAGACTGCCTATCAGATGTCTAAGTGGAGATGTCAGGAAGGTAGGGATTGGTCCAAGCCAGAGATAAGAATTTGGAAGTCACCAGGGAATGGATTATATTTAAAGGCATGAGACTGGGTGAGATCACCAAGGGAATAAATACACATGGAAAAGTTTGGAGGCTGAGCCTGGAGGTGCTGCAGTGTCAGAATGGGGACAGGGAAGAACTAGCAAAGACTGTGGAGAAGCAGACAGTGAGGCAGGAGGAAAATCAAGGAAGTGTGATACTGGCAATGAAGAGAAGACGTATGAAAAGGATGGCATGGCCAACTGTACAAATCCTGCTGATAGGCACAGGACAATTGTGAAAAGACTGTGGGGTCACTGACAACTTCCTCAAAAGACATTTTGGTAGATTAGTGGCTATGAAACTGTTTTGAATACACTCAACAGTGAATGGGAGTAAAATAAACAGATATAATTATAGAAAGTTATTTTTAGGTGTTTTACTGAAAAAGTGATTTTTTTTTTAAGAGGAGAAATATTGCAGTGTATTTATGGACAAGTAGATTTATTTTTTTTCCAAATGACTCCATTCTGAATTTTTTTTCATAAGATTCCATAATTTAGAAATCTCAAGAAAAGTCTAACTCTAACCCACAGTAAACTTTCTAATTTTTCCTTCCTTGTTCAAATGTAACTCACTTCAGTGTTTTTGATTTTCTGTGTATATAGTATCTGCACATACTAGTGTATAGCCTATTGCCTGAGAGCACCAGCTCTCCAATCAGACTGTCTGAATCTGAATACTTACTCATCTGTAAAATGAGGATAATCCCTTAAACATAGACTTGTTCTGGGCATCAAATGAGTTAATACCGCTACACTGGAGCATTAGGATTCTTCTTGGCTTAGTTTTCACTGACATGATATGCTAATATGATAGACACTAGGGAAATAAAAGGAGGATGACATCCACCCACACCCACACAGACTTA